TGTGTGTGTGTGTGTGTGTGTGTGTGTGTGTGTGTGTGTGTGTGTGTTTTGAGATGGAGTCTCACTCTGTTACCCAGGCTGGAGTGCAGTGATGCAATCTCTGCTGACTACAACCTCTACCTCCTGGGTTCAAGTGATTCTCCTGCCTCAGCCTCCTGAGTGGCGGGGACTACAGGCGCGTGCCACCACACCTGGCTAATTTTTTGTATTTTTAGTAAAGACAGGGTTTCTGTGTTAGCCAGGATAGTCTCAATCTCCTGACCTTGTGATCTGCCCACCTCAGCCTCCCAGTGCTGGGATTACAGGCGTGAGCCACCATGCCTGGCCTAGGCATTCTTACTCATTTAGTCATTCATTTTTTTGGGTGGAGGGGATGAAGTTTCACTCTTGTTGCCCTTCCAAAATGCTGGAATTTACAGGTGTGAAACACGGTGCCCGGCCCTCTTTTTATTTTTTAACACAGGGTCTCTATCGCCTATGCTGGAGTGCAGTGGCACAATGACTGCTCACTGCAGCTTTGACCTCTTGAGCTCAGGTGATCCTCCCACCTCAGACTCTTGAGTAGCTGGGACTATAGGCACGTGCCACCATGCCCACCTAGTTGGTTTTTGTAGAGGTGCAGTTTTGCCATGTTGGCCAGTCTGCCCTTTCATTTTCATCTATTCCTATTATTATTTTTTTTTGAGACGGAATTTTGCTCTTTTTGTCCAGGATGGAGTACAATGGCGCAATCTCGGCTCACTGCAACCTCTGCCTCCTAGGTTCAAGTTATTCTCCTGCCTCAGCCTCCTGAGTAGCTGGGACTATAGGCCCGCGCCACCACGCCTGGCTAGTTTTGTATTTGTAGTTTTACTAGAGACAAGTTTTCACCATGTTGGCCAGGCTGGTCTCCAACTCCTGACCTCAGGTGATCTACCCACCTCGGCCTCCCAAAGTGCTAAGATTACACGTGTGAGCCACTGTGCCCTGTCATCATCTATTCTATTATCTTCCTCCCTGCTCAGTCGGTGCCCCATCAAAATCCCTATCACTGGTGGTGCACCCATCCCATAGATGCTGTAGGTGCTGGCTGATAACTCTTAGCTGCCCCTGACATAACATGTAGAAGGATACAAAATACTGGCTCTCTTGCCTTAAGGAGGCCTAAGTGTGATGCCATTTGTGCTCAGAGTTCTCCATGACAGCAAGCGGAAGCTAGTCTCTATGTGAGACCACACTCTGCCTCAGCCTTAGCCTTTTCCCTGCCCTGTCTTGCTTCCCTCACCCCCTTCTCCTGAGAGCACTTCCCCAATAATTCACTCGAGCAAGAATGCTCATCTTAGGCTCTGCTTCTAGGGAACCTGACCCATAACACCCTCTGTTAGCTTCCTCAGAAACTATCTTGTTAGTTCCTCTAGAACAAATTCCTGTCTTGGACTCTGCTTATGACCACCCCCTTCATTCCCCTGCCAGGGATGACAGCTTAATGAGGGCAATATCTTCTTCACTTCCCTAGAATTGTTCCTAGAACACAGTACGTGATCAATGATGCACTGAATGCATGCAGCAGAGAGCCCAGGGTCTGTCTGACAGCTCAGCAGTCAGCAACCCTTCTGTCCTGCGGTAGCCTGGCCTGGAGGTATTGTGAGTCATAGCAGGTAGACAGGAGCTGAGTGGGTCACAGATAGGGTCAGACCTGGGACGGCAGCTCAGCAACTCCACCACATCTTCCAGGTGAGGTACAGCATACAGTGAGAACTAATGGGGAAGGGTCCTCTGACAAGATACAATCTCAAGGGTGGGCCTAGATGTGGACTTCCAGAGACTATCTCCCTGAACTACATCTTGGGGATGGCATATACCATCCAGCCTCTGCCCAGCTATATGTGAGGGATAAGTGTGTTATGAATTAATGAAGGTATAACAGAGGGAAGCCTGCTCCAATTCTTTTTCTTCTCACTGTCCATGGGCAGGAGAGGAATTAAAAACAACACATAGCTCCTTGGCCAGGCGTGGTGGCTCACGCCTGTAATCCTAGCACTTTGAGAGGCCAAGGTAGGCAGATCACGAGGTCAGATTGAGACCATCCTGGCTAACACTGTGAAACCCCATCTCTACTAAAAATACAAAAAATTAGCCAGGCGTGGTGGCATATGCAGGTAGTCCCTGCTACCAGGGAGGCTGAGGTGGGAGAATTGCTTGAACCCCAGAGGTGGAGGTTGCAGTGAGCTGAGATCATGCCACTGCACTCCAACCTGGGCTACAGAGCGAGACTCCATCTCAAAAACAAACAAACAAAAACACATAGCTCCCTTTTTCACATAATAGAATCAGCACTTACTGGGTGGGGGAGTACAGGGAGAAGTGAGCAAAATGGGACTTGTCTGTTATCTGAACTTTGGATTCCCTTAGGGCATAATTTGTTTGGAACAAAAAGTCATGTCTACCGTGCACAATCCCTATTACTTTGAGCCCTATGCATATCTCTAGCCCATGGTGCACACCCCAGGATGTCAGTGAACACACTGGACCATGGTCTACACAGGCATCTGTCTTCCAAGCTGGATCTGGAGCATCTTGAGGGCAGGCAGAGGCTGTTTCAGGTCCTCCTTCCAAGACCAGGACCTGGCACAGAGCAGATGCTAGTTGACTGAATGATGAGGGCAATCATGCTGTTGGGTATGCTAGACAGCCTCCCAGATTGTTTCCAGAATCCAGATCTAACCCTAGCTTTGTAATCCTTCAGCAGTTCCCTCTTACACACAAGAGGAAGTATAAACTTCTGAGCCTGCCTGTACAGCACCCTCACATAGTGCCTACCTTCCCAGCTTCCTCTTCTGCTCTTCCCAGCACCAATCCTATCCAAGCTAGTGTTCACATCTGAAACATGAAAGTCGTGTCGGGCACGGTGGCTCACACCTGTAATCCCAGCACTTTGTGAGGCCGAGGCGAGCGGATCACCTGAGGTCAGGAGTTCGAGACCAGCCTGGCAAACATGGTGAAACCCCATCTCTACTAAAAATACCAAAAAAATTAGCCACGCATGGTGGCAGGTGCCTGTAATCCCAGCTACTATGGAGGCTGGGACAGGAAAATTGTTTGAAGCTGGGAGGCGGAGGTTGCAGTGGGCAAAGACCGTGCCATTGCACTCCAACCACAACGACAAGAGCGAAACTACGTTTTAAAAAAAAAAAAAAAACCTGCTTGGCTCTTCCCTCTGCCTTTCTGCTCTCCATTGTCCATCCTCAGCTCACCTAGCGAAGTCCTACTCCTTTAAATACCTACTTGTCTCTGCTACCATTCCCTACCCCTCAGTCTTCCAGCTGCAACTCAGACAACAGGGCGCTCCTAGCGTCCTTCATCTGCATATTTATCCCAGCGCCTGACACTCGGTGGTCTTTGGGTAAGGTGGTTTAGGTGAGACGGCTGCCTGTGCAGCCTGGAGGGACGGGCTCCTCGGTGGCCAGCACCTGGTTACCCACAGCCGCAACCCTAACTGCAGGGCTAAGCCATGTCCACCGGCCTCGCGGTTTGAGAGGCAGCCTGTACCGAGCAAGCTGCTCACTCATACTCTTGCCTCCCAGCAGCCCCCCTGGCTCGCCTTCATCATTCTGGACATCCAGGTTCCCGAGGCAAGAGCGCAGCACCAGTCGCCAGCGCTCCCGAGGCTCCCCTCCGAGCACCTGCGTGCCCTACAAGGTCCACCCGGCACTCGCCATGGCAACCTTCGGGTGCCTGGCTACGAGCCATGTCAGCCACGTGTGGGAGCAGCTGCGGCAGTTTTGGGCCGATCACATCTCGCGGCGCTTCTTGCCACGGCGGCCGCCACTGCGCCGCATCTCCTCCCTGTCCACCTTCTACCTGCTGAATTACAGCACGCGCCAGGCCGAGCTGGGCCTCGACTACGGAGCGCCGCGCATGCGCCTCGGCAACCAAGCCTTCGAGTTCCGCGGCGGCCGGTGGACAACGGAGGGCCAGTTGGCGACGACCGTCTCGGGCTGGAAAGCGCAGGTGCAGCGGACCACGAGCCAGGTGTTGCTGAAGGAGAACAACTACCTGAAGCTGCAGCAGGAAGTGCTCATGGACATGCTGACTGAGACCACGGCGCGCATGCACCTGCTGGAGAAGAAGCTCAACTTCGAGGTGACTCCGGCCGCTGCGGCGCACGCCCAACAGAGGAAGATGCGCAAGCGCGCAGGCGCCAGCCGGGGCGTGCTCATGATCCAGCCTTGCGTTCTGGACTCGCAGTGACGTAATAAAGCGCGCGCTGCGCATGCGCGCCTGACGCCTTTTGACTAACCCTGTCCCACGCGGAACTGTGGCGCTCGCTGTTCCCTGGGTCTGGCTCTGCGCGCGGGCAGGGGGCGGTCTGCGTGGCCTCGGGGACTACCCGTCGGTGCTGGGTGTCGGCGGGGGACGCAAGCCCAAGCAGCGCATCTCTGGAGGGTGCGATGGGGCCGTGGAGGAGGGTTTGCGCGTGACTCCAGGAGCGCGGAGTGGAAGCCAGGCTTGCCTCGGGCAGGGCCCAGACTGGGTGGAGTGGCAGGTAGTGGTCGCAAGCTATCCAAGTAACCGAGGGCGAAGTCCCGGAGGCGGAGGAACCGTGGCGTTCAGGGAATGGAGGGTGCGGTGCGGCAGGAGCTGAGAACGGTGTGGGGGGAGCCGAGAGCCGAGTCGGGGGTCGGGGACTTTGCACTTGGTCTGTCCTCTGGACTTCTAGGATCAGGAGGTTTAGAAACTGGGAGTCCTAGGGTAAGTGTATTTTACATTCCCAAGAGAAACTTTCTCGAAACCTTGGGTTGTGCGGCCCCCACTTGCCTGTGTGGCATTTTGGAGAGTCGCGTCTCTGTTACAAGCCTCCTTTTTTTTTTTTTTTTTTTTTTTGGGGACAGAGTTTCGCTCGTTACCCAGGCTGGAGTGCAATGGCACGATCTCGGCTCACCGCAACCTCCGCCTCCTGGGTTCAGGCAATTCTCCTGCCTCAGCCTCTTGAGTAGCTGGGATTACAGGCACACACCACCATGCCCAGCTAATTTTTTGTATTTTTAGTAGAGACGGGGTTTCACCATGTTGACCAGGATGGTCTCGATCTCTTGACCTTGTGATCCACCCTCCTCGGCCTCCCAAAGTGCTGGGATTACACGCTTGAGCCACCGCGCCTGGCCCCCATGTATTTTTTTTAGTAGGGATGAAGTCTCACTATGTTGTCCAAGCTGGTCTTCAATTCCTGGGCTCAAGTGATCCTCCTGTCTTGGCCTCCCAAAGTGCTGGGATTACAGGTGTGAGCCACCATGCCCAGCCATTAACACATATTTGAAAATACGTACAGAATATAAACTAAAAAATACTATGTCTTACTATAACTTACTGTACCATGGATTGTTTAAAAACTAAGGTAAAAGTCATTAAGAAAATAATACAAAGCATAAAACATCTGTCAAAATTATAAAAATTCCAGGGCTGGGCGCAGTGGCTCAAGCCTGTAATCCCAGCACTTTGGGAGGCCGAGGCGGGTGGATCACAAGGTCAAGAGATCGAGACCATCCTGGTCAACATGGTGAAACCCCATCTCTACTAAAACTACAAAAAATTAGCTGGGCGTGGTGGTGCATGCCTGTAATCCCAGCTACTCAGGAGGCTGAGGCAGGAGAATTGCCTGAATCCAGGAGGCGGAGGTTGCGGTGAGCCGAGATCGCGCCATTGCACTCCAGCCTGGGTAACAAGAGCGAAACTCCGTCTCAAAAAAAAAATAATAATAATAATAAAAATTCCAGAATAATTGGACAAAAATAAATAAAACAATTGAAAAATTACTTAAGGAATAAAATGTAAGCTACAATAACAGCTTCTGTCTTACAAAAAACAGATTAAGAATTTTGTTTTGAGCCAGAGTCTTTCTCTGTCACCAGGCTGGAGTGCAGTGAGACAACCTTAGCTCACTACAGTCTCTGCTTCCTGGATTCAAGCAGTTCTCCTGACTCAGCCTCCCGAGTAGCTGGGACTACAGTCGCCTGCCCACACCTGGCTAATTTTTGTATTTTTAGTAGAAATGGGGTTTCACCATGTTGGCCAGGATGATCTCAATCTCTTGACCTAGTGATCCGCCCACCGTGGCCTCCCAAAGTGCTGGGATTACAGGCATGAGCCACTGTGCCTGGCCTAAAGTAAGAATATTTTTTAAACAATTAAACAGAATATAAGAGTCCAGAAAGTGTAGCATAGTCCCTAAAACTCCCACTATCCAGATGGTCGCTGGGCCAGGGTGAGGTCTTGTGTCCAGGTCCTTCCAGATATTCGAAAAATCTGCAACACGGAGGTGCGAAAGTCACTAGGGGCACAGAGGAGGGAGGAGGAGCTCTCTGGGGTGCGTGTGCAGGTCTCAGAGGGCTCCTCATGCCCTGGAAGGTGACCTTGGGGCCCTGGCCTCCCCAGAGTCTGTCCACAGGTCTGGCCTGGGTGCTGCTCTCTGTGAGGGGGTTGTCTATGCTCAGAGTGTCTATAAATGTCCTGCAGGAGGCACCGAGCCCAGGCACGCACACGGGCATCTTCAGGGGGCTGAACACCCAGATACTGAAAGAGATGCAGAGGGAGGGGGAGGCTTAAAGGATCAACTGGCAGAGTCTCATGCCCTTGGGCCCTGGGAGGAGCAGAAGGTCTGATGACACAGGGTGGGTTGGTGACCTGCCCTCACCCCAGACCCTCTGTGCCATACAGATGGAAGAACTGCACATTAAATGTGTGTAGCTTCCTGGAGCACGTCATTGTTACTGCCTAAGAAGACTTGGTCCATCTAACACCCCACCAACCCTGTCTGTGCATTTTCATTTTAGAAATCATTATGCTTTGGCAAAACACACATTTCTCACTTTAGTACATTTCAGCATAAAAGAATTACAGAAAACACTACGTTTTAAAGAATAAATATATATATATACATATATATATATATATATATATAAATACACACAAATACACATTTGTATGTATATGTTAATTTTGAATAGGAAAATACATTTAAAACAGTGGCTCCCTGAATCCTGCCCCTTAACTCCTCCCAACTGACCACAGCCCTGACTTGTCTTCAGGGGTTTCTTCTGTTGGCATCGGACCCAGACACAGAACCATCGATGCCCAAGCCAGTGTCTCTACACACAGAAGCCTCCAACCTCATCTTGAGAAATGGGGCCAGGAGGCCACCCCAGGCCCCAGGGCTCCAGGGAGGCTGAGGGGCCACTGGGACTGGGCACACCCCAGGGGGTCCTGGATCCTAGCTTTTCCCCTACTTGATGCCAGGACCTACTGAGTGCCCACAGGTGTCCAGTGCTGGGGTGGGTGGGCTGCTTGCTGGCATGGCAAAGCTGGGGGGTGCCTCCCTCTCACACCTTTCCCAGGAGGCATGAAATGTGGGAGTTCATGGTCAACCCCAATGTCTGCTCATGACAAACTGGTGATGCTCCCTGTTGGCTTCAGGGGGCTGGGAGGGCAGGGCTGGGTCCCCTCAAATGAGCTTCAGTGGCACTACAGACAAGAACACGGTGCATGGCCTTGGAATCCTGCACATGGTAGCCTGACCAGCACCTCAGCGTCTCCGTCATTAGAGCAGCCTGTGGAGGGCTCAGCCCAGCAGGCTCACGGGCTGCTATGGAGAGGGTGTGTTCCCTGGAGGATGTTCTCTGGGCATCCTTCACTTGCCTGTAGGGATTTCCAGCATAACAGACAAAGGTCACAACAGGTCAGGTGAGGCTCCTCAGCATCCTCATCCTCCTTGAACTCGCTGGGTGTCCTGATGGGATAGCAAGAGAGTGGGGCAGACACGGGGACACGGGCACTGTCTGCCTTCCCCGGTCATGCCGCCCCTGCACACTCAGATTTCTTCTGCCTGTTCAGGCTTTGTCTCTATTGCTTTTTCCACAGGTGCCTGGAGAGGACTTGCTGTCATCTGAGAGGAAGAAAACAACTGCATGTCCAGAGTCCCCAGTGCCACTTTGGGGGGTGGTCCCCAGAGCAGACCCAGATGTCACTGGGAACCCCTCCAGTAGGGTGGGCCAAGCTCTTCTGACCCCAACCCAGCTTCCTGCCTGGACCCTGTGGAGTTGCTCAACAGGATTCAGCGCTGCAGCCTGGGGGTCAGGAGTCAGGGCAAGGCCAAGACTGTGGGCAAGAGGGCTGCAGAGGGACTTTACAGGCACTGAAGACCCAGAACATTGACTGCCACGATGAGACCATGTCCCTCAGGAGGATGATAAGAGAGGGGAAGAGGGAGAGGGCCAGAGCTAGAGGAGCTCATGAATCAGGGGTGAGAGAGGGGAGGAAGGAGATAATTACACGCTGATGGTCGTCTGCACTCTTGGACTCTTCCATATCTGCTCCAGCAGCTTCAGGGTGTTGGGAGCAGCAGCGGTGATGGGGCGGCCATGGGAAGGAAAGGGGAGAGTGAGAGTCGAGGAGGCACTCGGGCCCTGCCATCCTGAGGCGGCGGATCAACCCCACAGGCTCCGGTGTGCTCATCTCCAGAGCCTCCTCCGCAGCCTGGATCACTTCCTACAGCGAGGGAGGAGCCTCTATCTTCCCACACACTTTTCCAGCCCTCACATCCTGTAACTGTGCCCAGGCAGGGAAGGCCAAGGCCTTGTCCTCCAAGAGGTGGCCACCATCTCCAGGACGTTGTGTACAATATGTGATTCCCTCCCTCCTCCTCCTCTAGGGCCTGTCTCTGCTTTTCTGATGAATCCCATGTCTTTTCTCTCTGTTGATCACCAATCCCACTGTTCTCCAACAAAAAAACACAGGAGGGAAGGGCAGGGCTGCATTGCCAGGCCCTCCATAAGCCCGTGGGTCGCACCCTAGGTCGGCAGCACCTGCCACAGGCCTGGGGCTGAGTGGGGCCTGTGGGACAGGTTGACAACCAATGTCACAGAATGAGTGACTGTTGTATGCCTGGGATGACCTTAGGGACCTGGAAAATACTCAACCCTCACAAGGTTCCTGAAAGCTTAGAAACGCCGTAACAGGACTCTAGGGAAAGCCCCTTGTCCCACTGCCTTAATCCTCAGGTGAGGCTGCGGTTGTCAGCACGTGAATGAACAGGCCCTGCCAGGTTTTGCCTGAGTTGTGGGAGGACTGGGCGGGAGGGCACATGGCAGGCCTGAAACAGGGAACAAGCTGGGCCTGACTGCAGCATGGGGTGCATGGCAAGGCTGTCAGGCCAGAGCGGTGGGTGTGACAAGACAAGTGACCCCAGTGCCAGCTGCCCAGAGGCTCCATCCTGGGCCCAGTGGATTCTAGGAACCAGGTTATAAGGAGGGTGTGAGCCTGCAGCAACACACAGCCACTCCACACACACCGTAGGATGCCTGTTGGCCACAGAGGGCCTCGGTGACAGCTGGACACTGAATTCTCAAAAGCCAATTCAGCTTCTATTCTTAACTCAAGGATCTGGGACTGGGGGAGAAGTGGAGGCCAGAGCTGTGCTTGAGCATGGGATACCCCCTCGGGTCTCTAAGATGAGGGCACACTGAGTAATCCCAGCGGAGGATTCTTTACCTCAGGAGACCCAGGGAGTGCCCTGTGACCAGGAGAAGATGATGAGGGCTGGGCAGTAAGGTGCTGGTACAGGTCCCCAGAGTGCAGAGGGAGAGGGTGGACTACTGCTACCTCCTGGCACACGCGTGAAGGACTTTGTGTCCAGGGTCCCACAGCAGCTGTGAGGGGCTGTGTCCCACCTCACTTCCTACACAGCACTAAATGCCACACCAGCATACTCATCTCATTCTCCATTCACAAAGGTCGATATCCACCCACCCAAAACCCAGGGCTTTGGTGTTTGCTGTGGCACAGGCAGGAGAGATCTGGCCTTCTGGAAAAGGTCATCTTGCTCACCAGGGAAGGAATCATTGGGATGAGCAGAGCACACACGACGCCCATGGAAACAAAACTTCAATTTCTCATTAACATGCAGAAAGAACAAACCCCACCTCTACACCTACTTCCTTTTATATTCACTGACTTCGCAGCTCCCAACCGAGGCGCAGAAACCACAGGTGTAACCCAGCTGCCCCCAAGAACCCTGTGTCCCAGCCCCACCTGGAGTGTCTCCGCTACTGGCAGAGTTTTTGTCGTCACTGGTTTCAGCAAAGCTGTCCTTAGAGCTACCTACAGAGACACAAACATCAGAGAAGGGTGACTTCAGAGTGACTGGAGCAGCACTCTTGCTCCACGCACAGCCACACTGGGTGACACCAGGTGCCCTGCTCCATCTTCTGTGATCTCAGACTCTCCCTGGGCTCGACTCAGCTGGGAGCCTTCAGATGAGACAGAAAACCTGAAAAAATCCCCCTTGACTCATTCACCTCCACTGACCCATTATGGCTGTCAGCTCCGCTCTGAGAACCCTGAATTTACAACATAGAGGCACACGTGTTGAGTTAGGTGAGTGTAGTGAACAGAACCTGGGTCAGGCTCATGGCAGCTGGCCCAGAGAACATTCTTACAGGATGGTAATGCTCTCTGTAGTGTGAGCATTAGGATACTGGGTACTCGAAGCATGGCTCTTGAG